AAAAAAAAAAAAAAAAAAAAAAAAAAAAGATCACACGATAAGCTAATGGCACAGGTAGTCACAGGATGGTGAGCAGATTCTTGGGCTCATCCAGGGTTGAAAGTAAAAAACTGAGACCACTTTTGAGATAAACCCTGGTCCCATCAGCCCCTACACACATTGTGTTGCCACGTGTCACACAGGCAAGGGTGCTCTAGTCTGGGGCCATGGCTCTACTAGGATCATCCCTCTGTCCCCTCCCACATAACTCTTCATTCTATACCTCTGCCCTTGCTTCTACTCTTTGGCCTTTTCAATCCGAGCAAAACAGCAGTTCCGCCAGGGGGACGGTCGGGGCCAGGTGTTTTGGAAGTTGGGGTCAAGAGATGCTGTTCAAAGAAAGGCTGAGTGTTTGTCCCCAGGGAACTTGATGTGGCAGAGAGAGAAGAGGCAGTGATGGGCCTCAGATCATCTGTCAAGTCATCAACAGGTTTGAAAAAAACAACGAATAGCTTTCCCTGTTTTCCCCAGGGAGGAGGAAGTCCAGCTAGATGGTCCCTAAGGACCTTGCAGCTCCAGGACTCAGGTCTACACTCAGCGGCCAGGCACAGGTTTCCGAGATGCCTTGCATGTGCGTGCGTACCAGGCAGTGCCGGGAGGATAATGACCCACAGGTGGGGGCAAGAGGAAGCGCTGAACGGCAGAGCCTGTGTGCCCCGCAGCAATCAGCAGGGAAAGCTGAGGCACTCAAGGTCTGGTTTGTAAGAGTGGGGCCAGCGGGAGACTCACCGATGCGCCCATGATGATGAATATGTGTGTATCTGACTGGTGGAAGGCATCACCCTGGTACAGCTCTTCCCGCAAGATCCCGCACACCTGGGTCCGGCTCAGGGCCACCTGCTCTGCCATGATGCTCTCTGGTGAAAGAATGTCCGTTGAGAAGTTACCCCTTTCTTGAAGGTTCCTTTGGGCTCTCATCAGGGGGACGCTTCATTACCAAAGCCACTCGCTGTGAACGGTGGGGAGGGGAGGGGCTGGTGGGCTAGAAACTGCCGGCTCTGGGCTTCAGCCATACTTTCCCAGGCAGACTTCATTCAGGGTGCACATTACAAAACTATCCAAAACACTAGCGGACTCCAGTTAGAACATCAATTCTAAGCAGCCGAGTAAAAACCCTGTCGGGGCATCACAGTACATGCCCAGGACCATCTCACTCCCGACCGCAGCGGAAACTCCACAATGACCTGGGGCATGTTAGATTGTCCAGATGCCAGAGTTTAGCCCCAGCCCTTCCCTGCCAAGCTGGGTGACCCCCGCCAAGTCCCCTCCTCTCCCAGGGTCTCAGTGTCCCCAGGGGCCCGATAGGGAAGATGAGGGTCTAAAGGGATCGCTAAGACCCTCGCGATTCAGCCCCGTTCCCAGGCACAGTAAACAGCGAGCATCGCATGGCCGAGCGGCGCAGCACACCCCTATGTCGGCGCGGCGCCCGCCCGCCCGCCCGCCTCCCGGTTACCTGCGCCTCGTCGCCGCCGCCCTCCGCGATCGCAGCCCCGGAGTGCACGGCCGTTTCCGGGGGCTGAGCCCCGCCGGCCTCTTTAATCTGAGGGGGCTTTCTTGTAAATGAATTGAGCCTGATATGTATTGCCAGGAGACATAAGCACTTCCACATCACCCACTAGGTGCTTAGCACTTTCCTGTCCTGATTGCTTAGCACTTTCCCAGTTTTAGCTCTGAA